GTGTGTGTGTGTGTGGAGGGTTGTCTCCGAGCGGGCATTTAAGACCCGGGCGGATAAAGCAAAGACAGTGTCACGGACAGTGGATGCTCTCTAAGAGATCCTCATTAAGGCAGCCCACTTCCCCCACAACCGAAGCGCTTCTCGCTGCATTCCTGTGACCGTCCGTCCGCCACGCCATTCAAGGTGTGGATAAGACGTATGACCTCTCCCCTCTTCCCCTCCCTCTGTCCCCTCCCATGATTGAAGTCAGGCTGCTGAACCGGTCAACCAAGCAGCGGCATCCTGCAGCATACCTCAGCAGCTTGACGGACAGGCCTGGGCTTTGTTCTGCAGGGATTTGGTGGAGTTAGGGGGTCAGCTTATAGACACCTCCTCTTCCACCAATGCCCACCTTGCTGCTCATGTCGTGAGAAGAGCCTTGCCTCTGAAATATGTATCAATTCATGCATGAATGTGTCAGCTACGCGGCTGTGTACATTGCTTTAAATTTGCCAGACATTTGCTCCACTTTCAATATCAGGTTACATTTTGATTGAAATAAGTACAGCTATTGATGACGAACACTCATTTTATCAGTAGAACATTTATGTAACACCTGAATGATAACAGCAGGCAGTATCCATTCGAGGGTGGAGAGGTAAAAAGAGAGGATTTCCTGCTGGAGACACCATCACTCAACACACTGCCCTCATGTATGAGCATCTCCCAAGACTGAAGCCAGGAGAGCCTCCCAACTGATTTGGTGTGTGCGTGTGTATGTGTGTGAAGTGTTGTGGATCTGCTGGTACTGATGGTTAAGATAACAGTAAGCAAAAGACAAATGGAAGTTCCTCTATTGCACTAGTGTTTTTGTGTGTGGATGCAGGATATTTTTACATGGAGGCAGACATTAAGGCAAAGTATAATAAAGTACAAAATAGAGAAATTTGGGGTTTAGTGGAATTTGGTTATAAGACAGTAGGGAAGATTTATTCTTATTGTCATGATAAAAACCATGTAGAACTGATCATGTCTACACAGATTTAGATTTTACATAGATTTAATGTATTCATATATAAAAAGAACAGATAATTTTGTTCTCAAAGTAAAAAATAATAAATATATACATTTTAAAACAAATGCTGCCTAATGAATGGGTTTGTCCCTTCTAAACTTTGTAGGTTATAAAATGTTTTTTATTATAATCATATTATCATATATTATTGTTAAAACATTTCCTTTAATCCATCTGTCCATGATTAGCTTTACGTGTTACATCATCCTCTATGTAATCCACTTTCTCCTCGCCTTGCCTTCACCAGGGGGGCTTTGTGCTGGCAATGTACATGAGAGCCATTAAGCTCCTTGTCATATCCATCCTTAGTTTGCAACAGCATTGAAGATTCGTAACAGACCAGAACAGGATCCCTGTACAGTATTTACCATATATGAGTTCAGCGAAGCTGATTGAAAAGTCAAACACAATGTAAATCTACAGGATAAATTGAGAGAGCCATAGCTTTGGACTGTTTTGAAAAGATCAGCAGGGGAGCTGGGCTCCATGCTGCGTAGGGAAGCGATGCTACAAGTTTCTGTGGTCGATATACAAACACACATAAAGAGTCACAGGAGGGAGCGAGTTGTGGGGAGGGGTTGGAAATGTCTGGTCTCCGAAAGATCCCTGGTATAACAGCTCAAGGCATTTCAGTGTACAATGATTGTTTAAACTCAAACAGAGAGAACAGCACCTAGTGGCAGCTGGTAGGTGCAAGGTGGTGCCAAGGTCACCATTGGGTCACACCAGATCTGCCATTAAGTTTTAAGTATTGACACCAGGACTCAGAGGACATACTGTACAACAGTGGTGAAAATTATCTACAAACATTAGCAGAAGAAGGACGATAAAGTACCGAGCAAACAACAGCTCAATAGAGTTGCAAAGTAGGAGGAAGTATTCCTATTGTTCTTGGTTTCAGTCCCATTTGTTCTCTGCATTGACAATGTTAAGAGACTCTTGTCTGGAGTGCTTCTATGGCTTAGATTGTTATGACATTTTCCTGTTTCAATTATCAGTACAAAGAATACAACAGGGTTTGAAAATAAATAGAAAAGTTGGTAAAAAACATCAAATCCAATTAATAGAGATTACACTGACAAAACTATCTGCAGCTGAAATGGCTCATGGGTAGTGTAGGGTTTTGAGATGTTGACCCTGCTGACGAACAATATATGATTTCTCAGGAACAAAGTTTAAATAATTAAAACTGGTGGGCATAACATGAACCTCTATGGTTGCTCCAGGACACTCACACATTTCTATGTAGAATAACGTTGAAGATATTCAGCGAAAGATATTTAATGTAAATTCAGAGTTGCAGAAAAATACCAGCGATTCATCACACTGTAATTGTAAAAGGCAAGGCAAGGCAAGGCAGACTTAACATATATACTGTATATATATATATACATATATGTACTGCCACTTTTCATATACAGGGGAAAAACCAATGTGCTTTACGAAGTTTTAAAAAATAAATAAAGGGATAACTAAAGAGGATTGGAACACTACAAGTATAATCTAGAAGAGTGTCTTTCCCAAGTAAAGAAGGGCTACGTTCACTTTTATATCTTCACCATGATGTGATCCAACATAGATATGGATAAAAACCTACTCTGAATACAGAATAATACTGCCATGATGTTCAGCTCCATTAGCTCCACACTGAAGGTGAAACCAGTGACCCTGTAACACAGTGGTTCATTTTAAAAGCTGTCCACGTAAGTACAGGAGAAGTATAATGGAACTTAATAGAGATCTGGTCAATATAATATATATTGATACATAAGAGGCAACCCTTTCTTTGCTCCATCTCTTCACTCTTTCTTTTCCGCCCTTCACTTCGCGCTCTGAGGACCATAGCAGTTGATTCATCATGTAATATCACTGAGTGTCTTTCCAGCAACCGTCTCTAATAGCCATACTCAGCCTCCTAATCACATTACAAATCACACTACTGTGAGTAGTAATGGACATAATGCATGTGGAGCTGTACATCATAGCTGGACCACAAGACCAGCGTTTCCACTGAGGATAAAAACAGTATTCATACTATGAGTGTACTTTATCAGGATTTGTACATGGGTACCTGTTTACCAAGGTTTTCCTGTGATCTTGTCGTTTCTCCCTTTTCTCAGTTCATAACTTGCTTCTTATCATTTCAGTTGATTTGTCATTGTTATCATCAGTATTATCAGCAGCTGATACTAACTTGATGAGTATTGATGGCCCCACCAAGCTGGAAACGTCTGTGTTTCTGTTCTGGTGTTCCTATTGGGTTTATTCTGTGCAATATATTTCACGTTCTGTCAAAAATGGGAGAATTTATTTTGTGTTCCATAATGTAAGCACTGTAAAAGCCCTTTTGTATATCAGAAAAATATCCAACTTGATGTCAAGATATCAAGTCTTTTTTATCTGAGCCCTTTAACATTTGGTATCCAATCCAATCCATATATTTTATGCTGATTACATGTGTGTATCTGACACACGGATCGGTCAAGACTGTAATGTCAACAATTATTGGATGGACTGTCATGAAATAGTGTGCCGACATTCATGTTCCCCATAGGATGAA